GCAGGTGGGCGCCTGTGCGGGCAGGAGGGGCTGCCACCGACCGTTCCGGGGCCCAGACGGGATCGCATGCTGGGCGTGGCCGAGCTGACGGAGGTTCTGAGCCCCGCGCCCACACTGTTACTAGCCGCTTGACCAGCCATCTCTCCACCCTCAGTTTTCTCCTTGGCAGCGGGTATATTTCCAGCCCGGCTTCCCAGGATTGTCAGGACTCGGAGGAGGTGATACATGCAGATAGTTTACAAGTGTTATTAGTCTGCAGAAATAAGTTGTTTAACCAGAGAAGTTCTACCTGCTCCGAGTGCGAGGGGTCCCCCAGGGATGTAGTCCCAGCGTGTGCCAGGGTCCAGTGCTTCCTCCCAGGGTCACCAAGCCCCGCGAGACGGCAGACGGAAGCGGCCAAAGTACTGCAGATGCTTTAGGGGCATGGCTTTTGCCATGTAAGTGTTTTTTTTTTCCCCCTCTCTTTTTAAATACCAGTTCTGTCGCTTAATGTGTGATCTTGGACAAGTTACTTAAGTTCTCTGAGCCTTGGGTTTGATGTCTGTAAAATAGGAATAACAATAGTACCTACCTTATAGGATTGTTAAGAGATCAAATACTCTATATGAAAAGTACTTAGAACAGTACCAGGCACGTGGAAGTGTTGCATTACTGCTACTAAAGCTGTGGTGGTTATTGTAGTTTTCATTACCTACCAGGAATTCTGCTAGGCATACAAATTGAGAGTGAAAGGATGGCTGTAGTTTCCTTATGGATATTTGTCAGTTGCCAAATATTTTATTTCTCTTAGCCTATGACATCCTGGCCATTGATAAGTCCCTGGCACCAATCACCCTGGTCCTGGCAGAGGATGGCACCATAGTAGATGATGACGATTACTTCCTGTGTCTGCCTTCTAATACTAAGTTTGTGGCATTGGCCGGTAATGAGAAGTGGGCGTACAACAACTCAGGTAAGAAATGCTGGCCATGTATGGAATGATCTATGCAACACAACATCCATCGTGATTCATTTTACTGCTCAGGCACCTGGTTGCTGCTTGGCTGTTTAGGCATTTATGTAGCAAATGTTTACTGAGCACCTTCTGTATGCCAAGTGTGGTGCTCAGTCTGGGGGTGAAGATGAGTCAGACATGGGCCCGTTCTCAAGTAACTCACAGACCGACAGCAACTAAAATGCAGCATGGCGGAGCTATCGGAGCCACAGGAAGAGTCAGGCTGCCCCAGCTGCATCCTGGCTCTGCCATTGACTAGCCGGCCCCCGTGGCCAAATTACTTGTAGCATCTCCTCACCGCAGTTGTGAAAACCAAAAATGCCTCCAGACACTGTCAAATGTCTCCTGGGGGCAAAGTCACTACCACTTGAGAACCACTGATAGAAAGCATTTAGATCTCACCCGTGTCACAAGTAAGGGCTCAATAAATGTTACCTGTCACCATCATCACTGGAGATAAAACGGAACTAATATTGATGAGCAAGGGTCAAAGAGCCAAAGAAATCTCTTAAGGAAAGTCCTCATGCCAGTAAATTGAGGAATTAACCTTCAGCAATGGCTCTAGCAGCCACCTTTGTACTCAGCCCCAGGGACAGCAGTGGCCGCAGCTCCTCCAGTCGAGCATAAGACCAATCCACAAGCATAGACATGCTGGTGAGAATGAATGTTTCGTATACAAAAACAGAACACACCCAGAGACACAAACACGAGCCTAAAGGTAGGATCCGGTATGCGTGACCATACATTGGGTATAAGTAGCTTCTTTCCATAGAAGAATAAAGAGAAGTTTCATACAGAAATAAAGTGAAGATGGAAGGAGAGGGAAAATTAAGATCCTGGTTGGGGATTGGCTTTCCCATAAATCCTTGAGAAAAAGTGCTTCCTTCTCCATTGAAATTATTCTAAATGGTCAGTCCGAAGGATGTGCAGACATCCTGGGGGGTTGCGTATGTTGGCGGAGGAGGTGGAACAGCACTTCAAGTTCATCTGACCGTGACTGGCCTTTTCCCCTGTGTATCAGACGGAGGTACTGCTTGGCTTTCCCAGGAGTCCGTGGACATAGATGAAACAGACAGCGGGGCAGGGGTGAAGTGGAAGAATGTGGCCCGGCAGCTGAAGGAAGATCTGTCCAGCATCATCCTCTTGTCAGAGGAAGACCTCCAAGTAAGCCTCCCCCATGGCCCACGGCCACGCGGCTGGCCTCTGCCGCCCTCAGCACTCTCTTAGTTCCCATGCCTCTTGCCATCAATGCTTTTGTTATTTATTAATTTTCACATACTTCTTAGATGACAACCAAGATTCTTCATTTCCTAATTTGCTCACCGGAGTAGGAATTTTTCAGCCCTCACCTTGCATCAGAATCACCTGTGGAGCTTTTGAAGCAAACAGATGCCCAGGCCCACCCAGACGCATTAGGCCACCCTGGGGTCCAGGACGTTCTGCCAGAGAACGTGGAAGTGGAGGCGCTCCATTAAATCCCAGCTCATCTCTGTGACTTTGAGCCAGAATCTTAGCTTCTCTTCCGGCGTTACCTCTCCAGTAAAGCTGGGATAAAGTAGTATGTGTTAGTTCAAAGACATATTTATTGAGCCCCTGCCCTGTGTCTGGCATGCCTCAGTACACTGGGGTCCAGTGGTGAACAGGCAGCCACAGTCCCTGCTCTGATGGAACCAAATTCTGATGAAGGGAGGCAGATAAGACAAGAAGTGTATGACACAGGACAGTGTGCTGAGCGAGGGGGCTACTTCACATTGGGAGATCAAGGCAGTTCCATTCAAAAAAAAAGGAAGGCCCCCTTCAAGGAGGCGACCTTTTGGTTATTTTATAAATGTATATGTTTATTTTGAGTAAGTAATATGAATACATTCACATGTTTAAAAATCCAAGAGGTATAGAAGGATACCCAGGTAGCCAAAAAGTGAAAGCAGCCCAATGTCCACCAACTGATGAGTAAGTAAAATGGTAAAATGTGATATATCCGTCTACTGGAATATTACTCAGCCATAAAAAGGAATGAATTATTAACACGCACTGCAACATGGATAAACCTTGAAAACAATGCTAAGGGAAAGAAGCCAGATGTGAAAGGCCGCATATTTTATGATTGTATTTGTAATAAAAAGGCCAGAATACCCAAACCTGTAGTGATAGAATGTAGATTAGCTATTGCCTAGGGCTGGGTTTGGTGGGGAGCTTTGAGGAGAAATAGGGAGTGACTGCTAATAGGTATGGGGTTTCTTTCTGGGGTAGTGAAAATGTTCTAAAATGGTTGTGCTGATGATTGCAGGGCTCTGTGAATATGCTAAAACCCACTGAACTGTACACTTTGTATGGGTGAATTGCATGGGATGAAATTATGTCTCAATAAAGCTATTGTCGGGTGTTTACAAGGAAGTCTGACCCCTGCCCCTAGCTACCAGGTTTCTCTTCCTGGAGACAAGCCACCTGTCAGTTTCCTCCTGTTCCAGAGACATTCCGCATATAAATATGTATATATTTTCTCCTCCCGTGTTACACAGTGGAAGCATATCTAGCCTGTTTTTAAAGAAGTATTTAGAGAGTATCCAGATCAGTAGATAAGAGACATCTGGTTCTTTTTTACCACTGCATACAATTACATTTCATGCATGTACCGTGATTTGTTTATCGAGTCTCCCCAACTGGTAGACGTTGGGGTTGTCATCAGACAACGCTGCAAAAAAACATACACCAGTGTCGTTTTGCACACATGCCTGTGCATAAAATAAATATATAGAAGTATAGTTGATAAGCATTGGCAGGTTTCCAAGAGGTGACGATTAAGTTGAGAGCTGAAGGACAGGATGGAGCCTGCCTTGGAAAGTTGGGGCCAGCCCGGCTGGGTGTGGCTCAGCAGTTGAGCATCCACCTAGGGTCCAGGAGATCACCGTTTGATGCCCGGTCAGGGCAGATGCCCGGGTTGCGTCTCAATCCCTAGTTGAGGGGCATGCAGGAGGCAGCCGATCAATGCCTTTCTTCATTTATGTGTGTGTGTCTCTCTCTCCCTCTCCCTTCCTCTCTCTGAAGTCAATAAAGATATATTTTAAAAAAAGAAAGGCCCCGGCCGGTCATGGCTCAGCAGTTGAGCTTTGCATCGACCTAGGATCCAGGAGATCGGGGTTCGATTCCCTGTCAGGGCACATGCCTGGGTTGTGGGCCTGATCCCCAGGAGGCAGCCAATCAATGACTCTCTCATCATTGATGTTTTTATCTCTCTCTCCCTCTCCTTTCCTCTCTCTGAAATCAATAAAGATATATTAAAAAAAAAAAAAAAAAAGTTGGGGCCAGAGTGTTCCAGGCAAAGGGAAGACAGGAGCAAGCTTGAGGGTTTTTTCTTAAAAAACAAGATCCCTCCCCACCCCAACACACTACAGGAGCATCACAGGCCTCACAAAATAGGAACATCAGAAAGAGTGAACACAGCCTTGTGGGCTGGGCTCCGTGGGGAAGTTCAGGGCACTCAAAGGGGACTTGCAGAGGCTGGCCGGGCAGATGAAGGAAAGGCACCACCACAGCAGGGTCTGCGGGAATGAGAACAGATGGGAGGGAAGGGAAGAAGTTCAGGAGGTACAAACCTTATGATGTAGGTACTAGTATTACCCTATTTTACAGACAATGAAAATGAGGCCAGAGAGTTTAGTAACCGCCCACGAATTTCAACAATTGGCTCTTCCTGTTATGAAGACTATTTTTGCTCTAGTATATGTCAAAAGAGTGAGCCTTCTTAAAAATTATCCTTATAGCAGATTTAGGATATAGTGAGGCCTCTTTTATTTCAGACTGGACATGTTATTTAAAAGCTTAGTATAGTTTATATTTTTAAAATAATCTTTTAAAGCTATGAACATGTATAATAAAAATGTTTAAGATTAAAATCATTCGAAAAACTTTTGCTTAAAACAATCTCATATCAATTCATTATATAAATCATACACCTCCTTTATATTCTAATTGAGTGGGGGTTTTGTAACTGTTTTTATTGATTTCTTTAGAGAGAGAGAAAGGGAGAGGGAGAGAGTGATAGAAACACCAATGAGAAATGTCGGTCAGCTGCCTCCCTCACCCTTCCCACCCCCACTGGGGATGGAGCCCAAAACATGGGCATCGAGCCTGTAATCTGGGCATGTGCCCTGACCTGGAACCAAACCAGTGACCTCTTGGTACACAGAACAGTGCTCAACCAACTGAACCACACAGGCCAGGCACAGTTGGGTTTTTAATATCAGGATTTTGTTTAGATTTTAATGAGGCACTAGGGCATCTTTCCAAATTTTTTCACCAGAGGAAAACTGAAAAAATTGCATACTCTCTCTTGTCTCTTAAGCAGCCATATTAGGTAACTTTGGAAAGTAGATTAAATGAGTTTCTGAAACTGATGAATTTGAGAGAGATAATACCATACTTAGAAAGTACTTACAGGTTTTCTTGACCTGGCCAGTTTGCTCAGTGGTTAGAGCATCTTCATGCAGACTGAAGGGTCCTGGGTTCAATTCCAGCCCACGGCACGTACCTCAGTTGCAGGCCCAGCCCCCAGCCTGGGTCGGGACTTGAGTGGGAGGCAACCAATCAATGTGTCTCTCACATCGATGTCCCCCTCTCTCTCTCTCTCTCTCGCTCTCTCGCTCTCTCGCTCTCGCTCTCGCTCTCTCTCTCCCCCCCCCACCCTTCCACTCTCTGAAAAAGCAATGGGAAAAAATATCCTCAGGTGAGGATTTTAAAAAAAAAGAAAATACTCCTAGGTTTCTTAAAGTCCATATTTGCCTGTCAGGTGCTCATCGATGTTCCCTGCTCAGACCTGGCTCAGGAACTATGCCAAAGTTGTGTCACCGTCCAGGGGCTCCAGAACACCCTCCAGCAGGTGCTTGACCAGAGAGAGGAGGCCCGTCAGTCCAAGCAGCTCTTGGAGCTTTACCTCCAGGCTTTGGAGAAGGAGGGCAGCATCTTGTCCAAGCAGCCAGGTAGGACTCGGTGGCTGGGGAGTGACACCGACTCCGTGCCATAGAGCCTTTCCCTCAGAACCAAATGTAACGTAGTCAGAAATGGCATGGCCACGGTTGCTGGCATCTTGAAATGACGTTTCTGTCTTGTCCGCCTGATTCTTCTGATTGGTGCTTTGTGTAGCTGTGTTTCCACAGTGTGCTGATCTCCATCTCACGTCTGCTTTGCAGATTCCCAAGCTGGCTTCAGTGACAAGGGGGACGCAGTGGACACGGGTATGCGCAGAGAGAGCTCCTCCGAAATTGCCCTTTCAAGCCAGATCCTTACTGCACTGAAGGAGAAGCCTGCTCCAGAGCTGAGTTTGTCTAGTCAGGATTTGGAGGTGGGCCAGAGCCAGGGGCCCTGAACCGCAGAGAACGTCTCCCCCTGGAGGTGTAGTATAGCCCTGCAGAGGCTCGCGTGGGGTTTGTTCCACCTCTGCAGACCCTGAGTCTTAGCTGCCAATTTGCCTATTTTATGCCAGAGCATTTGCAAGCATCTCGTGTAACCTAAATCAGAATGGCTTAAACAAAATGGGTGCACTCCCACAGACCATCAAACATTATTTTCTGATCCACAGTGGGTAATGAGGTGACGAAGCCTGACGGGGGCCAGGCTCAGCTTCTGACACGGCCCTGGTTCTGTCAGTGCCACGTGGAAGTTTCACAGGCAGTCGAGGCACAGACACTGTCACAGGGAAAGGCACACTCCAGGGGACCACCCTGTGCTGGCTCCAAGACCAGGGAACTAGAAGCTTGACAAAGAGAACCCATCACAGTGGGAGCTGCTTCACCTTTGTCCCTGTCCCAACTACCTCCCCATTGTTACTAGAAGGGAAGGAAGCTGTATTGACTTGAACTTGGCTAAATTTCCTGTAGGGGAAGACTCTGTAGCTGCTCCCGGTAAACTTTCCAAAGAGCCTTTCCCGTTGGTGTTTGGTAAGAGAAGGCCTGTGACAGTGTAACATGAAGGAGACCTGGCATTTCTGCAGGGACATGACAGACGGGTGTCGCCTAACTTCACGCCCCTAAAGAAGCCGTGGGAGCGGCAGGTGAGGCGGGCAGAGGTCGTGGTTCTCAGTGCTTCTTCTTCTTGCCGCAGTTGGTTACCAAGGAAGACCCCAAAGCACTGGCTGTTGCTTTGAACTGGGACATAAAGAAGACGGAAACTGTCCAACAGGCCTGTGATCAGGAGCTGAGCCTGCGCCTGCAGCAGATACAGAGTTTGCATTCGCTCAGGAACATTTCAGCAAGGAGGAACTCGCTGCCCGGGGAACTGCAGGATCCCAAACGAGCCAAACGAGACCCCTCCTAGCTGGAGCTGCAGATATGCCAAAGAGAACCCTGTGACCTTGGTTTTGTTATCAGTAAATCCCTTCAGCCTTTCAGCTACCTATATACCTCTCTGCCCCCTGCCTCAGAGCACGTTTTCCTGGGAGAGGCTGGAAGACTATTCCAGATCTCAGCGTCTCCCCTTCTACCCATTTTGAATGTCACTGCACCAATGTATCCCACCTCCTCTTACATGTTCTTATGTTCTCAGATTTAAAGTAATTGCAAAGGGCAGTGAAAAGAAATTGTCATATTTCAGACTCACTGCCCTGTTCTAAAAATAGAAATGCAGAGCTTAAACAAATAATGGTAGAGAAGGTGAGATAATAGTGTTGATTATGGCCACAATCTTGTTTCTCATGTTAATGAGCTTTTTTGTTTGTCGGTTCAAAGGCACATATTAAGTTTGCATACCATAGGGACATACAGAGAGTCTCACCATTTCTATTTGGCAATTCAGTGTTGTGAAATTATATCTGAAACTCTTTTCAGTTTTCTAATACGTTTTATCAGCAGGGAGTATAAAAGGTCATTAAATCGATTTCCTTGCGCTATGGCTCCAAGTCTCTCTGGGTGCAAAGCAGAGACTTCTGGTTTACGTTCTTCCTGTTTCTGTACAAACTTACTCTTCAGGTTTTGTAATCTGGTTTGCTGGTAGGGAAAAGATAATGGGTTATCATTGACTTGGTTTTTTTTAAAGCATTCTTAAAGGAAAATAGAATGCTATTAAGAGATACATTGGCTAATTATAAGGTAAAGAAATATAACAGTAAGTCCAGTGGGTGCAGAAGACAAACAGAACAGAAAGAACTGTTTCCTTCTCCCGTAGTCTTTAAGGAGGCTCAGATGTGCTCAGCACCCTTCCACTAATGCCTCACCCTTGGTTCTCTCTCATTAGCTCCAACATTTCCTTTTTAATAGCGTCTTTTGTTATGCCTCCTTAATTATCCTCAAATGAAAGCCAGGGCTGCTAACCTGCCTACACTCGTACTCTCAACAGCACTGACAGAATACCCCAAATGTAGTATTTCAGAAGAAACAAGGAAAATTTCTAATAAAATGGCATGCATCTCAGTACGTCTCTGTCTGGACATGACTGTACCATGGGCACAATGAAGCTGTAAGAAGCTTGTAGTTAGACAAGCATCATAAATTGCCATGACTTTGACCCAGGCAGCCAGGCTTAGTGCATAGTGACTGTCAACTCAGACGCCACAAGCAGCACTGCCCTTTGTAATGGGATTTCCCCTACCAGTGACCTTCTGAACAAAATAACATCTTTTTTTCACAGGTGGCTGCATACCTGAAAAATCCAGGGAACATTTAAACTGGGGGAAATACTTTGTATTTATATATACAATAGAATTCGGTTTCGGGCTAGGATAATTTGGAACAGGTTTTCATCCATATGAATGCCCAGCATGACGTTCAAAAGTCACGCAGAATATGGGACAATTCTTCACTGTGGGGAACCGTCCCATGAATTACTGGAAGACTTGCGTCCCACCTCCTGCCTCTACCTGCTCAATGCCAGTAGCAACCTTTAGGTGTTGAGACAACTAAAAGCTTCACATATTTTCAAAATGCCCCCAAAGAGGCAGTAATGCCAGCTGGGGATTTCCATAGCACCTACCGCATTGGCACCTCACAAAAGTGAGCGAGCTGGGCAAGGCATGGCTTGTCACCTCTCATTTTATACATGAGCGAAGCTGTGCTCAGCGAGGTTCAGGGACTGGCCTCCTGTCTCAATCGGGGGGCCAGGATTCAAAGGCAGGTCTTCTGGTTCTAATTCCCATGCTCTCCACTTGTATTTTCTTACGGGTGCACACTCTTCAGTTCTACATCCAGATCACTGGCTTTGCTGTACTAATCAGTTGGAGGCAGCTCCCACCAGCAAGGGCCTGAGATGTCTACAACACAACTGCCAAAAGATTTCTAATTGCAGTCATTGTGCGGGTGGGGTTGGAGATGTAAGTCAGCGTCGGGAACACCGCAGTTGGCACAATGGTAAAGGAAGCTAAGAATGGCACCTCTCTTCTCCAAGTCTCTCATATTTTTGTCACAGGCACAGCGGAGCTTTGGGTGACTGGCCTGGCGGTTGGTATTCTGTACCTGAAACTCACCAAGCATCTCCACTGCACGGGATAATGGAAAAAGTACCCTGGGTTTGGAGCGAGACAAACCCATGCTGAATCTAACTTTTTGGGACCTTAGTTTCCAAAATATAAGGTTAGTGTAAGGCCTCAAGATTGAAAGGACGAGGAAGTGCAGGGAACCTAGCCTAACAGACTGCAGAGCGGTTCCCTTGCACTTCCCCAGGGACAGAGATGGGGCGGGAGCAGAGGCAGGGCTGTGTTCTTAGGAGGCGCCTGGCGATGGGTCTCCAGGGCAAAGACCTCAGTCTGCAAACTCTAGCCCAAATGTGTAGAGAGCGGTTGCAAACACATTACACTGCCCCTGGTGACCATTTACCCTCCCTCCACCGCTTCCAGGCCTGCTAAAATAGAAAAGTAGCCACACAGCAATAGGCCTAAAAATAGGAGGGAGGACAGGCCTCGCCTGCCCTATGGTAGGAAAGAATGCCAACGAAAGCAGCTGGGGCTAATGAACTCCACATTACCCATACTCCATTCTTTCAACTCAAGTCGAATGCTGGTCCCCATTAGGCAACTGGCTGTGACAGGAGCTGTGCTAATTACCACTTACCAACCCTTAATTTCTGGGTAAAAGCAAAAGGAAAAACTAATGGGTTTTTCATTTTCCAGAGAGAAAGGAATAAAATAATAGTTGTCTGGCAAAAAAAAACAAAACAAAAAAAACCTGCATTAACACAAGATTAATGTGCCTTTGCTAACCAGATTGTTTAGCTGTTTAATTTCCTAATTTTATTTATATATATTTTTGGCCTCCAGGGTTTTTCAACATTTTATTTGTAGGGTTTTGCCTTACATTATCTTGGCTGTGTCTTTTATAACTTGAGGTTTTTAAGGACTTTGAAAATGACCCAGGCTGAACACCCTTCCACTGCCTGGGTCCTCTACATAGCTGACTGTGGGGTCCTCCATCCTATTTGAAAGCCTCCAGTGAGGGAGCTAGACTCACTCCCCAGGAGCTGCTCTGGATTTTCAGATTGCAGAACCTTAAAGTTGGGTATCTGCTTGAATTAGATAACCATTGCACAATTACGCGAAGTAAAACAACAGGTTAATGCATAGATACTGGGCTTTCTTCAATATTTTCCAATACCAATGTTCCCAGAACTATAACCAAAAAATTCTAGCTTTTCTCCAGCTTACAATTATTTTACTAAGACAAACACATGTATTCTTGACCACTTAACTACTTAATTATAAAGGAAAAGGGTAAGTTATTGTTTTTATTAGGGTTATGAGAAACGAAATAGCGGGTTGCTCAGCTTTTCCTTTCTAGTCTAGAAACAGAAAATTTCCTTCTTTTTATCACCCGATTTGTTGAAGATGGGATCTACATATCCATGGGAGAAGCTACTTCTGTTAAGATGTGGGTTATCCCTTCAGCAGGTGCTGTTAAATTAAGTATCTCCCAGGAGCTTACTGGCCTGAGTTTCCTAAAGCCTGGGACAGTTTGCTGTCAGCACCGAAATATGAATAGTAGGAAGGGATTTCTGTCCAGTGCTTATGTCACAATTCTTCCTCAGCAGGCAGGGATCTATTCTGGTGATAAATGCTGGAAATAAATGCAAGAGAATGAATTAGAAATTGTGCAGGTGCTGACATCCCAGCTGTGCCCATTTGACTCTTGAACTACAGAAAGGCAGACTTTAAAAGAAGTCTAGCAAAAACCTGATAGTAGGAAATTACCCCAATTTATTAATCACGAGCATATTAATCTAGTCTAACACGCAGCTGGTGCCAGTTAACATTTTATTAATTCCCCTGAGCTAAGGTAGGCTTTGCCTTGATGGATCGCCCAGCAGCATCGTTAGTTTAGCCTCATTATGCTTCCAACATTACTTAGTTCAAGTTAAAATCCCAGGCTTAAGGACTGTGTGTGCATGACCTTCACCGAAACTGAAAAACAAGGGCCATGCTTTCTTCTAGAAAAACCTTGTAAGACAAAGTTCTGAAGGTTAGATGGTCTTTCAGGCAGACCTCTTCCACCAGTGCGCTGACCCAATTACTGGTCTCCTAAAGCTGCTGTGTTTGGAAATGTGGATGCTATTAAGGCTCTTCTGTCACATTATACTTTTACTCAGCAAGCGATTATGAATATGAACTCAGCTCTGCGGAAAACAGAACAGAACGGTCAGCAGTCAGACCCTGAGAGTGCTCCCCTGGGGTCAGGAAAGAGAACAGTATCACAGAGTCCTCCGGCCAGCCTTTGCCGGTTTCCTCAGCGTCAGGCCTGACCCTCAGAAACTTCTCCTAACTCCAGGTATGAATCACTAGGCTTTAAAGTTTAGCATCTAAAAACCTCACCCTGGAAGTTTACTTTAGAACCTATGACTGAAGAGTTGTAAACGTGCATAATTAAGCAAGGATTTGGGTGCTATGGGGGAAGAACTGAAAACTTGATTAGGGTTTTGAAACGGAGCAACTTGTGCAGACCAAAATCCTGGTCCACCCGGGGCTCAACGGTGGCTCTGCATATCCCAGAAAAGGAACTCCCCTCCTCTAACACTCACTCACTGTCCCTCTGCGGGAAGTGACTGAGGAATGGGGGAACACACAATTATACGCATAATACATTCCGATACGTGTGCACCTGTCTCCGAACGAGGTCCGGGCCCTGGCACTGCAGGTTCTCAGAGTAGGAGCTGGGGCAGCCGGCTACACAAGCTGGGCAGCAGCGCTGCTGTTTCGGGTTTGAACTCAACCTGAAGCGTTCACCCCTGAAAAGAATTCTAACAAATTAACTTACTAATTAAAGCTAATATGTGTTTAACAGCAGGTTGGAATGTAATTTTTATAAACTTGTCAGTATGATGTCTGCTTAATAGCATGACATTTGTTTTTAAATTAATTTTTGCTAAATCATGAAGAATAACCGTTTTGCTCTTTGAGCACTGCTAAAAATTTGCTTTTAGTATGAGGGAAACATTTTTTAAATTAGACAATTTATATCAACAGAAACTGAAATAAGATGTTATTCTGAACTCTTAAATATGCAGTCTCTTGCTACATATCTGATTTTAAATCAAAGAAAGGCAGACATAATGAAGGTGGAGGGAAAGCCCCATGGCTGCATTGTGTACAATACGGCAAAACCCACAAAAATCTATCAAAAACATTCGCCCTGGGTTCCAGATTACTCAAGACGCTCAGTATCGGGGATTACTGGAGTTTAAATAAAAAATACTTTTCAAATTACACAGAAACAAGAAGACAACTGCATAAAGAAAGGTCACGGCTGCTTAATACATTTTATTTGGATCCATGGTTACACTTCCTTGCACGCGTCATCAGTGGAGTTTTACTTGCAGGAGGAGAAGGTCTTCCAGAAGAAATTCTTGCAGGGCACCTTCTCTGGGGGCGTGGACTGCTGAGGGGGCGGGCCTCCCTGCCGTTTGGACACCTCCCTGGCTTCCCCTCCCATGAAGGGCGCTGCACCGGCCTGGGAGGTCCACTCGTACCACCAAGCAAGGAAAGTCAACAGGCTGTTTTTCTTTATTTCTGCCACTTCCTGCGTATGCTTTTAAAAAGAAGCAGAGGGCAAAGAAAAATCAACCACCTGGCTCAGCCAGCGCTTGAAGATAAATCCTTCCTTCCTTCCAAAAAATTTACTCCAAAGCCATAAATCACATATCCATTTAAGAGATGAGCAAGTTAAGAGAACACCTTAACGGCACTGCTGCAATTAGAGAAAAGGGAAAGTTAAGAATTTTCAATCAAGGAAAGAAAAAGACTTATTTTGCCCATAATCTTTGCTGAGGACCTTAATTGGAAGAGGCCAGGAGATCTATCGTTTTCGATCTATCATTTTCCCCGATAAGTGACTGGCAACTAAGAAGCCCCCAGGGTGATCAGGCCAACTGAGCACGGCTTCCCCATCTCTGGTCTTACTCCTGGCTGTCCACAAATTGCTCTTCAAGGCAGATCAGACTGAGATGTTACATTCTGGTCTTTCAAACTCCTTAAAAAGCTTCCAGGAGGAATCTGATGATAAATGATTTGTCTGAAACTCATCTGGTAATTTCAGAGAAAAATCCATTTTTAATGGTCAATTTTATATACTCTTCTTGGAACTTTTTCAAAATGGAAAAAAAGAGAAGAAAAATAAATCACCTCATGGAGTTACGAGTTCTCACAATGAAAAATGTAACGCTGTCAGTTCCTCTGAGCCAGTGAGAACATGCACTGTGTATACAAATTAAGGTTCCAGAAGTGTGTGTGTGTGACTAATACTGCAGTGAGCTCCACGACTGCACTGCAATAGCCTGGTGCAATCAATGAACATTCAGAGACCAGCAGGTGGAGACCGCAGCATGAAGACACTCCTCTTGAGTTCCAGAACTTTCAACTTCCTAGGCTGGGACAACGGAAGGTAAACGAGACTCTGGTCTGTGTGGACACCACAGTACCGCAGGGCCGCAGGGGAGCACTATGAAGGTCAGCCCTGTAGCCTGTCCTACACACTCAGCCACGCGGACGCTGGGGAGGCCACAGGCACGGCCAAACAGACCAGGCAGCATGCAGCGAATGAGGGGCTACTCACCCCGTCGCTGTCCCGGCCTTTCAGGGGAAGGGCGGCGGTGGCTGCGGAGAGCAGCAGCAGCAGGCAGAGCGGCAGCGGCATGCTGCGGGCAGGCTGGCGCTCCTCTCCGGCTCTGTGGCCGCTCATCTTGCTCAGCAGCCCTGAAATCGGTGTTTTGTGGACGTGGGTCTCTTCTTTGGAGACGGGGGCGTATTTTTAGCTCAACCTGCAGCTGTTTTTTTGTATACATACCTGTGTAAAGCCTGCACCCCCCTTCCCTCACACTTGAGCAGTGACGCATATGCCAGAGCAATTTTGGATGGGACGTAACCCTTCATTAAAGACGCAGGTCTTTCTTTGCCTGTGCTTAGAGCAGATTTGCTCTTCCTTTGCAATTCATGTGCACTTGCTTCTGAAGTTCACTTCCTCATAATCATGCCTACAGAAAGCAGGAAGCCATGAGGACAAACCGAGTGATTTAACACAGTATAAACAGCCTTGGATAAGGAGCTGACAATCTGAAATTTTGCCCATAGAAGAGTAGCACTGACTCTGCCATGAGCAGAAGAAACAGGGAGGCAATGAGGACTCAGGGGGCCGCTTACAGCATCGCCTGGTTTCACCAAATCACAGGCAAGGACAACCAAGTGCTCGTCCCCCAGCCTTCAGGGAGCTGATTCTCTAATGTTTGATGCAAGAATGTGTTTCTGAAAAGAGGTACAATAGGAACTTTGATTGAAAGAAAAAACAAAGACTGTTCATTCTAAAGGGCAGAATAGGACCCAGATAGAAGGTGGAAGATTTTTGTCTAGCAACAGAAGAAACTTGTAATGATTAGCATCCAAAACAGAGAGGGCTCTCGTCCCTGGAGGTCAGCGGAGCCTGGGGAACCACACGTCAGAAACGTGGTAGAAGGGGTTCCCAGTTGGCAGGAAGATGGACTAATGACTTCTACGGGTTCTCTATAAACTCCACAGTTCAGTACAGGGAACAGCATGTCCCGATTGACTTTTCCTGGACATCGGCTGTGTATGAGGCAGAGCACCCCTTTCCAGCACATTCCAGCTATTGCCATGCAGAAAGGGATGCTTTGAAACTCCCCTGGCTCATAATTTCAGTAATAAAAAACACAGATCTTTTATTTCAAGCTTTTTGAGGAACTGGTATAACAAGGAAGACAACAAATATCAGTAGTGTAAACTGCCCCACCTATGTTAGCAGGCCACATTCATTTTAGACATCTGCCTCTTTAGGGTTGACTGTCTGCCTATATGGTCAGGAGGTCTAGTCAAAGTTCAGATGAGCTCCAGGACTCTGAGGGAGCAAGCCCATGAAAAAGAGTCCTCTAGAACTCCTTTTTGCCAACTGTCACCAAAGATGGAGTCATAAAGGATGACCGACATTGCCCTGTACATCCAGAGTAAGCTGAACCCTAGCTGGACCACACAGTGGGGACGAGGCAGCGCTGAGAGCACGGGGAGTGAAATCAGCTATTTCTCAGCAAGTCTGACCGCCCCTGCATCACAATCCCTGAGCAACGTAAGAGCGTTCGTCTGAGATACAAGCAGGCCATACATAAATGTGCCAAACAAACCAAAAGATTACATGAACATCAAGTCACCATTCCCATCTGGCTAGAAAATGTAATATCAAAATACTCGTGCCAGCAGGGAGGCACCCTCTGTGACCCTCTAATCAGAGACAGATCACCCATGGTGCACACAAGCTCACCACTGACTCACGTGTACACCTTGTTCCTGGAGCTACGGAAATCTATAAAAATAAGAGGCATTATAAAGCCTCTTATTGTCACATATACCCTGGCTGTGAGGTAATTTTAACCCTATGTTACCGGTAACCACACAAAGTTTCAGAAAGTCATACAACTACTAGAGTGGCAAAAGCAGGATGCAGATCTAGACTTGGCAACCTTTGGAAAGTCCATAGTATCTAGTCTCTAGACTCAACTTGAGAAGCTGTGTGATTTCCTTTTTCCTTCACTGATGTGACACACAGATGTACCAATTAACATCTAAGATCAGTTATTTGCAGAAGCTGTAACTAAAGTTTGAATTCAGTGCTTTACTATGACCACAGCTTATCATCTTTTTTTGACACAGACTTTAGGATGTCTTTTGATAATCATATTTGGCAAGCCTTTTTTTCTCTCGCCCCCTCTCAAGTCAGCACCCCAAATGGTCTGTAGATCCTCGGCAGTTGGTTAACCTCTTCAAGCTTCAGCTTGCTCACCAGGAAAACGGGGATAACCAAATAGACCCTGAACAAGCTGTGGAAACCCAGTGAGGTATGACAGGGAGCACCCAGAGCAGGCCTGGCACACAGAAAGAGCTCTGTAATGCCAGGCCCTGCTCTTCACCCCTACTGCCCCAACAGGAAAAAGGCACGCCCTGGACCTCTAAGAAACACCGAAAAGAACTGGGGCTCCTGGAAGCATCACCTCACAAACTAAGACAGAGGACAACATCCTGAAGCATTTGGAGTCATAGACCAGGTCTTCCTCTCAACAAAACTTATTCCCAGCGGAACCACAGTTTAATTACAAAATCCAGAGGAAAATCACATCTATTTGGAGAAAATCACCTTTAAATAAGTAAAAAGAACCATTTCCCAACATCAACGTTTTTACCTTGTGATCAACAAGTGACATGGATTTAAAACATCGGTAATCAAAAGAACTAAATTCATCTTTCAGGAACTGTCAGCCTGAAAAATTATGTAAAAGAATAACTATAATTTTGCTTGGAAAAAATCAACCATATTTAACTACTAACACAATTTTATTAGTTGCAATAGATATAATTTCCAATATACACCATTCAAACACAAACCTTTTTATGTGGTTCAATAATACACGGTATGGGAATATTTTGCTTAATAGTTTCCAGTTCTCTTTGAAACTAGCGTTCGCGGTCAGAGACTTGGAAAATACGGCACAAAAAGCCTCCTGGCCTTCTTTTTAAATCTCCACTTATCCCTTCAAATTTCCCTCTGTGGCAACGTGCGTCCTTGGTGGCTCTCCCTGCTGAGGGCTTTTTCCAGCCGGCGAAGGCCTTGGACTCTCACGCTCCGCGCCCCCAGCCCCCGCTGGTACCAGTGAAGCCCTGCTCGCTCCCTCTAATTTCTTCTGCTTCTTTGCTTTTCGTTCCACGTTACACTGAGCGAGCTCTTCATTTTTCCCTGTGATGTATTTTAGCTACAAAAAATTTTAAAAATTATATTTTTATCTGGTTGTAAAGCCATTTCACACCCTCTCCCAACCACTCCCGCTCAAAGAATTTGGGTGGAAGAGCCTGGGTCACATTCCTTAGAGTTAAGCAGAGCTTCACATTTTTTCTGGTAGCAGGAACCAATTGCAAAAGTCAGCTCACTGCCTCTCACGTATGCTTCCAGACCGGAAGGAGTTCCTCAAGTAATCACTGAATTAAAACCTGGGGCTTGCGGAAGGTATGCCAATCACAAATATACTTCACAAAGCACAAATCTGGTCAAATCCCCCTAAATTTATCCAACTAAAATTATTCAGCAACTACTATGTACCACATACTAGAAACACAGGTAAATAAGACAAGGTCCCTGCCTTCAGGGAGACTGACTAGTCAAATGCACAAATTTAACTGCATATCTTCATTACTAAGCTTCTATCAGATGAAAAAAATTAAGAGTCCAAAATAAATACAGTATTCTGACATAAACAAGTAAGCAATAGCAGATAACTTTGCAATTAATACTCTAAGAGGACGTGCATTCGCCGTTCCTTTGTAAAAGAAAGAAACTGCTCACCACAGCTGACCAAGTCACAGTTAGAACTCAGAATTTACTGATTCACAGCACGCCAGGCTCCTCAGCTAGTTCACTTGGGAATTATACCATCCTTAACCTTGACTTAAACTTTAGAGAAAGGATGATAGAAGAGCAAAGGCCAAAAAGAGCCTAGTAGAAGCAGCACTGATTCGGGGTTAGAAGGTCAAGGTTGAGCTGTGAACCAGAGAGCTTCGTATTTAACTGGAAAGCTACCAACCCCACTTGCCTGGCCTGTAAAATGGGCTAATAAATCGTGCTGTTAAAAACCCTCATAGAGTGATTGTGAGGCTTAATGTGCGTTACATATCTATAAAAGCCCCTGTAAATGGTCAATTGCTATAGAAAATCATTCAACAACTACTTATTGAGCACCTACTTTGTGTCAGGCCCTATTCTAAGCACAGCAGATGGAGCTGAGGAGAAAGGCAGAAGTCTCTGCCCTCGTGGAGCTAACATTATAGGGAGGAAGAGAAAGTATTTTAACTGCTAGGATCAGACTAAGGAAACCTCAGAGGTGTCCTGGATCTGCCATCGGCACAGCCACTAGGCTGGGATGATCACAGCATCACCTGTAAAACGAGGGCTTGGTCAAGATGACTTCTAGACTTCTTTGAAAAGACAGAATCTTTCCTGCCCATCCCAGCTATACAGATACCCTTTCCATACCTGGCCCCTCAGGAAAATTGTGGGCACCATAAAGAAACTATCCCCACACACTCTAACCTGTGACCCATCTCTGACATCATGCTGTAAATGAAACATGGGACCAAAGTTTTGAGATATTACAAAAAGGCAAACTATGAAATCTAGAGAGTGCTGATTAGAAAATTTCAAATTGGCTTGGCAAGATCCATCTTAATGAAAGGAAGCCCATAAATTATGGGCAGGTCTGATTGGTTCAACCATCTCCCGTTTTTAATGCAAGGTGCCCCGGGGAATCACTGCACGGCTGCGAGTGATTAATTGGAAATAATGTATTCTGATGGGAAAGGGGAGTGAGGGAAGAAATTCATCTCTCACCAGTGAATTACTCCTCCTGGCTAAGAGCTTCACATCTTCCGTGTTAATTGTGCTTCTTTTCGCATGTCTGTAGAAAGGGCAGAAACAATTCACCAAAATGTTTGGTATTATTTAAAGTTTTGATGAAACACAAAAGTTCATGGTCAGACTTCAGGCTAGCAAGCATCTCTAAGTAATCCATCTTTTCAGATTAAGGTCATTAAGCAACAGTGACACAAAAATGAATGAAGTGACTAGCTAAGACACCAATTAAATAAAAAGACCAAGAGAAAGCAGAAGCCCATCTGTCCACCTCCACTGCGGTCCAAGGATGCCTGAGGGATAGAGGCATGGAAAGGAGTCTGAGGCATTAACCTTAGGAAAAAAACCAATTGGTCACAATGGTCACAGAAAAGCAAGGTCATTGTACACCTTGAGAGAAAAGAGAAATTGGCAGTCTCACAATACAAAGACCACCTCTGCTTAAAATAGCCCGGCCAATGGTTGAGCGTCAATCCAGGAACCAAGAGGTCACTGTTCGATTCCCGGTCAGGGCACATGCCCCGGTTGCGAGCTCAATCCCTTGTGGGGGCGTGCAGGAGGCAGCTGATCGATGTTTCTCATCAATGTTCCTATCTCTCTATCCCTCTCCCTCCCTCTCCCTCTAAAAATCAATAAAAACATATTTTAAAAGACAGAGAGACATTAAATAGATGAGTGAAGAAAATTTCCTTGAGGCATGGCTCCACTCAAACCAAGATCCTGAAGCTCTTCTCCAAGGGCTAACTTACAGGAAAAAGCTTATGCAGATGTCTCCTAACACAGTAACCCATTTCCCCACAAGGAGGTAATGTGTTCCCTCAACCTTGACAAGAGCCTGGTTAGAACAAAGAACAACATTTAAACCAGACTCTGTTTCTTGCTCATAACTTGGACTCAAACTCGCATTCCAGTCCTCTTATGTTTGCTTTAAAAAGTAATTGAGGCTTGGCCCGGTAATTCAGTTGGTTAGAGGATCGTCCCAAAATGCCAAGGTTGTAGGTTTGATCCCTGGTCAGGGCACATACAAGAAGCAACCAATGAAGGCATAAATAAGTGGACCAACAAATCAATGTTTCTCTCTCTCTCTCAAATCAATAAATTTTTAAAAATTTAAAGGTACCTTGAGATAATAAGCTCTATTCAATAATTTATTTAAGGATCATGCTGTCCAAAGGGCAACTGTGCTGAAGTAGAGGAACCCTGCTCTAAGTGGACAAAACTTCACCTTCAAATCAAACCTGTCTACTTATTTACACTTTTGTGTCTCCCTTTGTAATAAAGAAGTTCTATTTTCAAAAAAAAGGGAGAAAAGAAATGGCAAGTAAAGGTGATAAATGTATTTCACAGGAGACATGGGGTGGGAGGATAATGGGCCACACGTAAGATTAACAATGAATAATCCATATGAGCTATCAGTATCCCATAATATTATCTTATCCCTTTTGGCCAAGTTGAAGATGCTAAGCGGTTTTTAGGGACTCATATATACAGGAACAGGAAAGATTTAGAGCCTGCCCTCTGAGAACCTTCAGCTTTAATTCATTCAAAATATTCACCCGAGAAACAGCTACTAGGAGCAAGGTGAAAAGTATGGGGTGTGGGAGAGGCTGGCACCAAATCAGAAGCGGTAGCAAATTAGAAAGCTTTGGCCCTTTCAGGCCTTAGTCATTCAAATTGCTTCATAAAAGCAATTCGTTGCAATTGTTTTCAATTACGTGAGGTACTAATTGAAGAGATGAGTATAAATCACCTGTAAAAGCTAAAGCTTCACCAGCTGGAAACAAGTCACCCTCTTTTCAAGGAGTGTGCGTCTCACTCGGAACAAACGTGGCAAATGGGAGCCTGATGTGGACCCACGCTGTCATTATGCAGCCACCTGGGAGCAATCACCGCCTGTAGCTCAGTGCGGCGGGGGAACCAGACCCTAGCATCACCCCATCCTGCAGAAATGGTCTTAAAAGCATGCATGCCCCGCACATTCATGCCTTTTTAACCTGGAACTGAAGAACTTCAGTTCTCTTAACAAAAAATACTTGGGAAACTTCAAAAAATACCAAATCAAGTCTGAATGGATGTGATTAAAGCAGATGTTATATTCTTGAGGAATCATGATTGGAGATGAGCCTCCACAAAATACAAAAAAAATGAATAGCCAAAGCTCTCCTGAAACAGACCCGCAGGTGGGGAGTATCGACAGAATGCAAACAAAGACAGCGGCTCTTTACCTACCTTGCAAACATTTCAAGGTCTTGGGCAAAATTTTCTGAAAGAGAAAGAGAGATGTGCTTCAGCTACCTTATCTCAGTCTTATTTCAGGAGGGAAAGTGCAACCTGCAGTAAGTACAGTGACTTAAAACAAACCCACTTCCGGCGGCCCCGCGGCACCGACGCCTTTAGCTCTTTGATTCATTACGGCCCCCTTGTCCTTCCGGCGACCCTGACCTTCATTACAAGCTCTCTGGTCATTGTGGCTACACCCTTCATTCCTAGAAACTATCCCTTAACTTTACATTTTGCTACAAGTTAGGGCTTGTGAGGACATTAATTCCCTGTGAAGTCAAGCAAATACCAATGCCGCAAGTTCACCTGTCAAATAAACTACGGGTGATATAAAAACGTTATAAAGCAATGAAATAAAAAATTTAATGTCTAATGTTCCAGGCAGTTTAAAACAATAAAATAAAGGTGCTAATGCCCCAGTGTTAGTGTAATAGGAAAAAATAGCTCTTCCATAAACTACCCAAATCTGACAGCCAAGAAAAGAACTGTTTTATGAACAGTGTCCGGTGATAATGTCCTGTCTGGTGGTGACATGGTGGTGACACGCCCCTCAGCACCCACCCACACATTTCTCCCAGGCACTTCGACCCCTGGGGCTTCTATACAGAGACAGGAAGGCCAGGGCTTCGTACCACACTGCCGGAACGTCACCTCCGAAATCGCTGCGATGGTCTGCTTGCTGAGCCGCACCTCCTTGTCCGAGGCAATCTCCTCGCAAAGACAGCCCACGGTGTAGTGGACTGCTGCCTTCAGCCTCTGCAGCAGAAACCAAAACACCTCATGGGGGAGGTTACAAATAAGAGCCTTTTCCCTCTTAAAAAATTAAGACCAAGGAGAGGGCCTGCTCAGTCCAATTTCTGCAGCACTTTCCATAATGGCTCAGTGACTTCTCAAGTGTACTAATAAATTAACGAGGCCCTCTGGAGTGTGACTTGTAGAAACATTACTTCCTGGTTAATGGTTATGATTTAGGTCAAGTAAAAAAGATAAGGAATTACGATGGGAGGTCAGCGGGGACAGAAGTCAGATGGCACTTGCAAAAGGTCTGCGTGACTTGACTCAGTCCACAAACGTGCACCAAGTTCCCACTGAGTAAAGGCATATGCTGGGTGCTTGGGGAGCACAATGAAAAACCACACGGGGATTTCTTGCCTGGACGGGGGTTAATCAAGCAAATGCAAAAGGACCCCTTCCCTCTGCTGCAGGACCCTGCAGCCCCACACCTGCACGGGACGAAAGATGAATGATCAGGACAGAACCGGAAAGGTTCGGGAAGGCACGTCTGACCCTCCTTTGAGTGTTGGTTTGCTATCCCACCTCTGCAGGACCCTCAGAGCTCCTCGGCAGCCCCTTCAGGTATGGAAAACATCTCTCTTCCCCACGCAGAGAAGCAAAACAAGCTAAGCCAAGGTCTCAGTCTCAGATCAACAAACCTGTGTATACTCCATCTCTGTGCTGGACACAGAGCTGAGCGGGACATGGAGACAGCCGAATCCAAGACAGCAAGTGTTCACAGTAGAGGCAAGAGGAGGAACTGCAGGAACACAAGTCCAGGAACCCGAGGAAAGCGACAGGCAGATAAGTGGGGCACCCAGCTTCCTTAGTTTCAGATCTCACAAGGCTAGGTAAACTGAGGATTTGGCCGGAGGAGACAAAGGGACCATCACCCTGGGAGGGATAAAGACCATTTAAGGTCATCTTCTTTAGGTATGTGTGGGATGGGGTCAGGGTGAGAGAATGGGACAGGGGTCCTTCTGAGTGCTCCAGGCAGTCTTCTCTGTCCCTCCTCCTTCCCAGCCCCCTGGATGGGCTAAGGGCCTCTTCAATGCCACAGATGCATAGAGCTAAACCGCTACACTCTAAACTCCGCAAGGACAGGACAGCGTCAGTTTTGTTCACCACTATCCACCTAGTGCCAAGAACGGCTGCTTGAATGAATGGTCCTCAACCTGCTCACCACCGCTTAGAGAATGAAGCTCAAACTTCTCAGCCTGGAAGCGGGAGGAGAGCAGTAAAGGGGGTCAAATATATGGTGACAGAAGATCTGACTTTGGGTGGTGCACAGCTAATGTATCATAGAACTGTACACTTGAAACCTATCTAACTTTATTAACCAGTGTCACCCCAATATGTTAAATAAATAAATAAAAAACTTTCTCAGCCCATCTTTGTAGTCTTACTCATTTAATCAGTATGAACGTACTGTTTACTGATGGCCAGGCTCGGTACCAGGGGCTGGGAACACACAAGTGAAAAGGACAGTCCTCATCACCAAAGGTGTATCTCCCACTACACCTCTGCCAGGAATGGGCTCTTCAAAACCATCAGTGTCACCGAAGACGAAGCTGGAGAGCTGCTCCAGGGAAGACAAGAGAGAAGGGACTCCTGAATGCAATGCATGATCCTGGGATGGGTCCCGGGTGAAGGAAAAAGACCACGAAAAGAAACATCTTTGGGCCCAGCCGGATGTGGCTCAGAGGCTGAACATCGACCTAGGATCCAGGCGATCGGGGTTCAATTCCCGGTCGGGGCACATGCCCGGGTTGCGGGCTCGATCCCCAGTCAGGGGCGGGCGTGCAGGAGGCGGCCGATCAATGACTCTCATCATTAACGTTTCTATCTCTCTCTCTCTCCCTCTCCTTTCCTCTCTCTGAAATCATACATTAAAAAAAAAAGAAAGAAAGAAACATCCTCGGGGCGAATGGGGAAACGTGACTATGGACTGGGCGTCATCTAACGGAACTAGAATTTTATCAGTACCAAGCTTCCTGAGTGCAATAACCGAGATTACGTCGGAGAATGACCTGTCGTTGGGAGATGCACTCTAAAGTATTAACATGTAAAGGGGATGTGTCAAGAATCTGGGATTAATTCTTAAATAACTCAGGAAAAAAGGAGAGAGTAAGTACCGCCGTAGGTTAACAACTGGCGAGTGGGGGCGAGGGGGGTATGGGTGTTGAGAACACGGGTCTTGGAGCTTTTTCTGAAGGCTTCTCAAAACAAAAGAGAGGGTCAGGGGAAGAGCTTCTGAAGTCCAGCACGTCCCAGGACGGACACCCCCGGGCGGGGCTCATCCGCGTGTCCCTTCGGGCTGTCGCCCGGTTCCCGCTTTCCAGCCCCTTCCAGCGCTAGGATCTCCTGCCTCCGCCACGCGGAACTCACTCCCGCGGCTGATGACAGGCGGGGCTGAGTCCCCGCACCGACCCCGACTTTCCACGTAAGGAAGCTGAGTGTGGCACAGTCACCACCACCCTCGGGGAGCCGAAGGGTGGACGGCGGCGCCGGGCGGCGCGGGCTTGCGCGCAGCTCCGAGGCCGGCTGCTGCTCCGCAGGACCGAGCGGGCACCGCT